TTACATATAAAGTCAAAATGATATACTTTTTCCATCACTTTCCGTTGTTTACGCCTCTAAGCGTAAAAATAAAATATCTGACATTGTCAGTGGAACGTTTATCGTCTTTTTGGAGGAATGGTGAAAGTTTTGGTGTAATTTACATTTGAACAAGTCATTTCATATTACACGTGTCTTCACATTGAAAAGATATTATTTTAGTAGGTTTATTTCAACTTGATTCCCGTGCAGACCGAGGAGAAAAACCTTTATTTTCTAGTTAGTTCAAATATGTGCAAAGGCAACTGTTATTTTATTCAGGAGGAGAAATATGCCGTACTTCTATTTGTGACTTTGTGGTTGCATAAGCTCTGGGATAGAAATGGCTTTTCATTAACTGGTTGGTACGAGATGATTAGTGTGTGATGATGTTGTAAAATGTTTAATGAATATCTGTTCACTTACATTTCCGGTGTCTCTTGTTCTTTGTGGCCGCCAGTTGCAGTTCAGAGGGGCTCAAAGATGGGTGCATTTCCCCTCCAGGCCAGAGGGGGCGAAAGCAGCACGACGCTGTTTCTAACCGGCGACCGGCAAATAAACAGGAAGTGGCTAGATCACGGGTAGAAAAAAAGTATTTTTTAAGTGTTTAAGGGGATTTGTTTTCTTTTAGCTGTTAGTTAAACAGTCGTTAGAGGATGTTTGTTTCAGCTGCGGTTAATTTAAACCACCTGTGGGGTTTATAATCCTATTTGTATGATGATTCGTGGACAAACTAGGCGAGTTTTCAGTTAGCATCCGATACACGATGCAGAACTGCATGATGGGAAATGATCACAACAGTTTTTGTTTTTTAAATAAAATGCATGTTTGTCCACTTTTTGTAAACATGCTTCATATGGATGGGAATAGTGAGGAAGCACCGTCCGTGTGGGTTTTATGTTGCAGAGTGGTGACACCGTCAGTGTGTTTGCTATTGGGGGGAATGAGGTCCCCCTCAGCGAGCTATACAACTCATACTTACCTGGCAGGGGAGATACCATGATCAAGAAGGT